GTGCCAGATTGGGACTACTGAGACATCCAGCCTTGTGGACTGAGCGACTACGGATTCTCAGCCTCTCCAGTGTGGTGCAGCCATTGCTGGACTACTCGGACTATCCTGTGAGCTAAGCTGATAAATCTCTATACATATATATTCATTCTACCGGTTCTGTTTCTTTGGAGAACCCTGACTAATACACTTAGCTTTTTCGTTAATCGAGGCCACATCTATAAGAGCTACTAATACCACAAAAATGGACACTATGAGCCTCTGGTAGCAGGAGACCCCCTTTAAACATAGCCCACTGGCTGCTCCATTCTGGAAACTGAAAGAAATCAGGAGGTAAGGAAAACATGCAGTCAGCCAGCAGGGGGCAGAATCACAGGTCTGACAGCAGAATGTGGGCAGTGGCCATGACCCCAACAGCAGAGGGCAATGTGATTCCATTTGTCTATTGCAATGGAGGACCTGGGGGACCCTCTAACCTTTTCAGAACTAACATAGAAGGTTAGAAGGTGAAAATTCCTGAAAGTGAGATTGCATCACCTTTCTATGACATGGCTTTACAGGGCAGGACCCCCAATCTCCTTCCTGCCACGAAGAAGTGTGGCCAGAATCAGAGCAGCTGGTGGGAACAGATTCAGAGGACGTGACTCTTGTCCAGGATTCTCAGTGGCCTTTTGATCTTTTGTTCCTTTGGGACATTTATCTGTACTCGATGCCTTCATCCTTATGCTGTGAAATGAGAGCCCTGACATTTCCCTTATTCTGGTATCTTTGCTTGCTTGCTTGCTTGTGCTGATAGAGGAAAGATGCCGGCTGTCAGAAGGCTAGCTCTGTAATCTAAGAGAGGGTAGAGGGCTGGTGGCCATACCTTTTTGTATCTGACAAATCCAGTTGTTCAGGTGTTCACAGTTAATATCATTCCAGGACATGCCAGGGTCACCTTTCATCTCACCACAGTATTCCACATTTTGGTAATTATTCGGCTCCCCATAAGCCCAATTTTCATAAGACACCTATATCAGAAACATTACACTTGATCTTATCCACAATGCCAGGGAGCAGTGCTGTATTAGAAACATTAGAGTGCACATATTAACCATGTGTGTCACACCGATACAAATCATTTCTCCAAACAGAAAAAAGAAAGATGTGTTTGCATTTTTTCATTCATTTACTTTTTACTTTCAGAGTAGCTTTGCTTTGAAAGCACATTTTATGAATGTGGCCAAGAAAGAACTAGCTTTTATTACATGGAAAATTTTGAAGTTAACTAGAGTAGGCAATTGAGTCTTATAATATTTTCTTTACTCTCATTCAGTAGAATGGATCCAAGGGCCATGAAAGCAGAATTTATATATAGGAAAAACTTAGCAAGAAGCTTCCACTTCTCAGTTAGTAATTGTAATTTCCTAAATTTACAGCCCATTTTCAAGGGGTGATATTTCAGTAGGTTGTTGGAAGCTTTCTTTATTACATAAATGAAAGAAATGTAATTAATTCTTCTTGAAGAAGAAAAAGGCCTATAAAATGTGGCTAACAGAACTACCAGGCTTTGCCAAAATGAGCAATGGAAACACAGGAGGCCTTGGGTTTAGGTCTTCTGGGAGAGCTTTCAGTATTCAGTCAGAGCCCGCAGAGTTTTGGACTAAGCATTATGCTCTATTTTTCAGAAACATAAATATAAAATCCAAATGTCAATGGAGCCATCTAATAAACCGTCTCATGTAAGTGCCTTAAAAGATGCTGGTGGGTTATAAGTGGAGGTAGAACTGAAGTTATAATACATCATTTCCCATGATGACCAGAGCTGCTAAATATTACCAACAAGAGCCAGAACTCCCTACTTCTCAAGTGGGGAGAAGTCTCACACACCCCGAGGATTATCAAGGAGAATGCCAAAACTGTGTCCAATTCTGCTGAGCCGAGAGAGGCTACAGAACAGCATGGAAGAGCTGTTATATTTATATCTGTGTTACCTGTCCACACACCAGTTCCATATAGAATGGAGATACTTCATAAGTACTCGTGAAATGAGTTTTCATTCTTTTTTTAATTATTATTATTGTTTACATGGTCACAGTTACGTTTAAGGTACATGGAGGTCAGGGCAAGACAGTCAGTCTATTCTGCACTTGTATTTATTTTGTAATTGTGTCTATTTTGCATCAAAAATATCTCTAGCTGTTATAATGACCTGCCATAATAAAATGTGGATTAAACCAAAGGATATCATCAAAATAAATACGCCTTTAATCCCAGCACTCGGGAGGCAGAGGTAGGTGGATCTCTGTGAGTTCAAGGCCAGCCTGGTCTACATAGTGAGTTCCAGGACAGCTGGGGCTACAGGGAGACCCTGTCTCAAAAAGACCAAAAAAATAAAAAATGAAAAATAAATACATTATATAAAGTGAGAAAACAATATATTAAAAACTACTCACGGGAGAACCATCACTCCAGGTGAACCCCTCTGAAGGACTTCCATAGGTCAGTCCCAACCAGAACAGCTCATGGTAGTTTCCACTGGCTCTACAATATATAATGAAAGCACATGCTAGTCCCTCAAATGAGTCCAGTCACCTGTAAGGACTAACAAGGCTTGAGGGTTAACTCTGAAAGGTAAATAAATTAAAAAACTACATGTAGGTGTTATATCACAGATGTCTGCGATGGTTAATGTTGATTAACAACTTGATGGGATCTAGACTCCTCTAGGAAACAAGTATATGGGCACATGTGAGGGATTATCTTGAGGCTGGGAGACCCCCTATAAAACTAAGGGGCTCCATTCTCTGACTGAAAGAGAGAAGCTAGCTACGCACCAGCATTCTGACTGCCAGTGTGTTGTGACCAGCTAGCCTCCTGCTCCTACTGTCCTGCTTTCCCTGCATGGTGAATGAGTCCCTCCAACTGTAAGCCACAGTTAACCTTGTTGCTCTTAAGTTGCTTTTCTTCAGGTATTTTATCACAGAAATGAGAAAAGTAACACAGATAATGCAAATGTTCTTGCCATGCTTCAATATCCTAAAAGTCTACAAGAAAATCATTTTTACAATGATTTTACAAAACTTTAAAAGATCCTCCTTCAGGGCTGAAGAGATGGCCCAGCAGTTAACAGCACTGGCTGCTCTTGCAGAGGACCTGGGTTTGATTCCCAGCATTCACATGGTGACTAACAACCATTAGTAACTCCAGTTCCAGGGGATCCAATGCCCTCTTCTGACTTCCATGGGCATTGCATGACACAAGTGCACTTACATACATGCAGACAATACACTCATACACAGAAGAAAAAAGTTACTCCTTCATTCATTCAACAAATATATTGAGTGTCATGCACTTTTCTGAGGCAATCCATTATGTTTTATATTTCTAAAAATTAGATCAAAACTGGCTCATAGATTTGGAACATGATACAGAAACATAAATATTTTCTCTGCATCATCAGTGCTAAAGAAAAGATCGCCATACAGAAAAGAGACTTACGTTATTAAGCGCCATATTGCTTGCTGTTCGTCTTTATTATTGATACTTGCTAGCTCTCCACCCAGAGCTCGGCAAAAATCTCGAGATTCAAACCATGTTTTCTTCTCATGTTTTCCTTTTGCATACAGCTAAAGATATGGTTTTGAAAATTATTTTACATTTGGCAGCTTATCAAATCAAGGTAAATAATCATTTACTTTCAATGAGAGTTAATTTATAAAAAACAAAAACTAAGCATTACAATGGTCCCAAATGATGTAATTCTGCTGGTTTAAAATCTATTTATTAGTGACTATTTTAATAGCAAAACATGGTTAGTGATTTTTGTTCAGAAAAAACATTAGAAAATGAACATATTTTAAAGCACAGGAGAAATTAAAATCTTAGATGTTGAAGATGTAGATTAAGTAGATAGTGCACAGTGGAATATGGGAGTAATTTGATTAAGTATAAAGAGTGGCATTGAGGTACAAAAAGTATCAACGTTTTGATGCAGAGAAAATAAACATGAATAAAAACTCCCTGGAAGCATCGTGCCATTTGTTATCCCACGAAGCTTAAGCAATGAATAGCCTGGCAGTGTGTCTTTCAAAACTGTGTTGCCTTTTTTTCCTTAAGTTTGCACATCTCAAAACTATGAAATAGCACACTCTCTTCTGTCAGAAGTGGGTTGAAGGTGAACCAAATTTAATAAGCTGTATACTTTAGGTACTGGGTCCTATTATCTAGAAGACTGCACGTGGAATCCCTGGTGATACTAAAGGGCATGTTCAATGACACAAGAACCAGCTTACTGTAGGTAGCTAGGAAAAAGGACCTACAGTGAAAACTACAAGTGGTTCTTAAGTTACAGAGAGAATGGACTTCAGGGCTAAAACAGTGAGACCGGAAACATTAAGTAAAGGTGAGAGACAAAGACATTCGCAGCTTGGTGTGAGATAACCACGCCAGAAGAGCTGTGAGGAGGGAAGGGGTTCTGAGCAGGGCTGCAGGCCCCCTGGCCCCACAGAGCCCTTGAGGAAAGTACAGAAGGCAGTACCGTTGCTTCTAATGCAACTCATTGTAAAGGACTAAGTAAAGATAGCTTCTACAAAGGCCTGCCTAGTCCAGAAAGGAGACCCCAGACCATCCCACAGACAAGGAGTTAACTAAGAACAAATGCAGCTACTTCCTGGCAGCTCTAAGGAACAAAGAGAGTTTAGTATAACTAACAGCACTTGAGACAAGTCAGAGGCAGCAGCACCAGCCAGTAGTCAAGGTGGATCACTAATAAAGCAAGTGTCAGAAATGGACTGAAGGGAGCTTCACTCATCTAACTGGGTCAGCAGCGTGTGAACAGAGCACGATCTCTGGTTGGGCCTGGGACCATGCACAAAGAATTGGGCCCTCTAATTGGCCAACTAATGAAATTACCTTAGTCTTTGAACAGTGTCTGTAAAACCCCTCTACACAAAGTTCAGTGACTTTTCCTCTTTGGGGAACCCTTCCCATTCTTGGGAGTTTCCTCTCTTCTTTAACTTCTCACTTTATCTCAATTTCTCACTTTTCTGTCATTCTCCTTAATAAATCTTGTTTCTGTTTTGCTGACTCCCACAAATAACCTGCATCTCTAATCTTTACTGGTGTTGAGACAAGGAACTCAGGAACTTTTCTCCCACATCAATTTTCAGTGCATGAGTGTCCTGCCTGCTGGGTTTTGAGTCAAAGACAGCTGGGCTTAGAAAGGTTCTGTTTCTTTCCAGAACTGCATCAATACCAATATGCAAGCATTTTGTTGAAGCCACTGCCATTTGTAATTTTCCTTCATCATTTCCCCTGAGTCAGGGCTCCTCCCATCACAGCCTTGCAAACAGGAGACTTGCTTCCAACAGACTATGGCTGCCCAGGATGTTAACAGTGTAGACCTGCATTTGACCAGAACTTGACTTGAGCTACATAATTAGATGTATCTTGAGCAAGTAGCTCCCACAAACTCTACCTCAACTTTCTATACTCTGATATTAGAGCCTGTTTACTTAAATTAACTATCAGCTAAATTTGATTAGTTCCCACATCTTATTGTTTATAAGGATGGTTTATACATTTGTAAATAAACAGTACTTCAAGTACTTGTGAAACCATATAACTTGTAGTGATGTACATAACTTAATCTGATGAACATCTACCTGGATATTGTCTCTATTCAAATTCCTAGTTCACTTTTCAGCTCTGGACAATTCTACTGTGTCAAATCTCTATAGCCTATTACCTTCAGCAAAGAGTTGTGTATATGATAATCTGACTTTCATATATAGTTATGCAAAATCTCTAGAAGTAACCATAAAATACCTGACTACTTGGTACTATTCCCTAGATAATCCATTTTTAAAATATCATCAGTGGGAGGAGGGAGGCTATGGGAGAGTGCTACCTAGGAAGTGGGTATATAAATAAATAAAAAAGAAAAAAAAATTCTTCAAAGCATAAAAATTTGCTCTGTAATAATTAATTGATGTGCAAAACATTACCATTGAAATCTACCTGATGACTTTACATTCATGCTCAGGTGCCAAGGATCTTAGAAAGTAAGTGACTGTGACTAGTAATAATCAGATACATAGAGATTAGAGACGCATGTACAAACATCTAAGTGTTATTTGCATTAAAAATGAGCTTTTCTGTATGAAACAGTAGATTCTAAAATGAAATAGAGATCTTTTTTAAAGGTTAAAACCTCATTCAGTTTTAGGTTTTATAGGGTTTATACTGAGTACAAAATTTACAGCCAATTTTGAAAGAGATGCATCTTAGCTCTGGAAATTGTTATTGAGTATGTCAATGCTGTTGTAATGAAATGCTTCTTCTAACTATATGGTTATTAAATAAATAATTTTTAAAAATCATCTTATGTCTTGACTCTTTAATGTAAATTGAATGTTTAGCCCTGACTAGTCAATTTAGATTGAACTCTATTGCTCCTACTTAGTGTGACAGATCATGCCCTTCTGGAGTTAGAGAAGACTAGACAACTTCATTCTCACACAAGTTGCTTTTCCTATTTCCAGTGCTGGGGATGGACCCCAGTGCCTCTCACATGCTAAGCAGGTGATCTACCCAAGTGAATCCCTTGACTCTGACAAAAGTTCTTTATCAGTCTCACCAAACTGTCTTTCGAGGCACTGGCCATGTGCCATTAAAGGGAATTGAGCAGGAGCTGGAGAGATGGCATAGCAGTTAAGGGCTGACAGCTCTTGCAGAGGAGCTGGGTTCAATTCCCAGCACCCACATGGTGGCTATGAACCATCCTTAACTCCAGTTCTGGGGGAATCCGACACTCTCTTCTGACCTCCGCAGCATTGCATGACAGGGGTGCGCTCACATATGTGCAGGCAACACACTCATACACATAAAATAAAAATAATAAATAAAATATTTTTTTAAAAAAGAATTGAACAAAAGAGGTCCTGAATGTAAGACTTTATCATTAAGTATATACAATTCTATATTAAACTAAACCTAATTTTTTTCTAGATAATATATGACTTATAAAAGAGAATGGAAAAGACCTACTTCCTAATTTATTGGGAGGGGGGAAGTGTTTGTTTCTGGTTTTGTTTCTATTTGTATTTGAATGATGGCTTATTTTAGTGAACTTAATTGAATAAGGAGAAAATAGATGATTCAATCTAAGAATATATAAAATAATGGTAGAATATTGAATTCTCATTTAAAGGGCATTCAAGGGCTGTGTGTCCCTTTTGCCTGTACTGCCTTCATTAGAGTCATTATGGTTAAATTATAAAAATAGAGCATGCACTCTAAAATACTGACATGACATAATTGTAGAGTAGTTTATCAATTGAGTTAGCTAAAAGTTTGGGCTTGAAGGTAAGGGCAAAGGGGGAATGCCATAAGTTAGAAAAAGGAGTAACAAAGCTTTTCCTCAAAATGAAAAGAACTGAGAGCTCATAACAGGGCTGGAAAGCCTGCGGGGATGAAGGCAGAGCAGAGAAGAAATGAGAATGACAAAATGAGAACAGTCTGGGAGTCCTATCTGTGTGTTTTGGGTCTACGTTCAACCAGTAGGTGGTATCTGCCCAGGGAGCCTCTCAGCAATAAAATCCGAATAAAATTTCCACAGGTAGAATCCAAGCCATGTGTTTAACTTTTTGCTTTTTTTCAATTCTCAGATATTTCAGATTCTTCATTGCTTTAGTAACTGATACCTACCTTGAAACACAAACTGGTTTTACTGGTGGTGCCCCAGTCTTCAGGACATTTGGGCTCAGGAGTTGTTGGGGGCTCTGGGGGGCGAGTTACTCCTTCTGCCCAGTGCTTGCACACAAACTTTGCCTTTTCATCACATTTTAAAACATCCCATAAGCCTCCTGCAATCCCAGTTTTCATGGCAACACACCCTGCCTTTCGTCCTGCATTAAACACAAAGTAGAACTCAGTCCACAGACACTTGCACAGAAGGCAACTCAAAGCAATGTCATGTTGTGACTCACCTCCATGAAGTGATAAAACTTAGAAACTACCACAGCATCTAGCACTTGGGATGTGCTACTTAAAACCATATTTTGTCTTTTATTTATGAGTATATATCCCCAAAATAGCCATCTTAAATGTAGGGAGTTTTGAGAGCATTTATATTTATCACAACTGGGGGATGTGCCTCCTTACATAAACATTTAATGATAAAATGTTTCTGCCATAATGGCAAAATTATAGTATAATCAATTTCCTGCCTGCCTCTCTGCCTGCCTTCCTCCCTTTTTTAATTCTTTGAAAATTTTTTCCCTTCTGTTATGCTCCATTTCAATATTCCAGGGCCAAAATTCTTAAGAGAGTTTAAAACAGAGCACTCCTGAGGTGAGGGACTTAAGTAAGTTACTCAACCACTCTTGTTCCCTCATCTTTTTTAATATTTTTTTAAATTTTAGAATATTTTTACTATTCCAAAGAGAGGCAATTTTAAAAAGATTTTTCCAGAAATAACCTGAAGCAGATATATATATTTACACAATGAAGTTCAAGGGGAGAAAAATAGGAATACGAAATCAAAGACCAAAGGATTTGCCAACATGGGGTCAACTGTGGTGGAATAATGAAGGTTTCCATTAGCTCTGTTCTTTTCTCTCTCTTTTTTTTAAATTCTAGTTTACTGGGCTTGCTAATTGCTAACAGAGCAAAGGGTGGAGGGGTTTATTTACAGAAGAGTGGGCACCCCCCCCATTTATGGCTGCGCTGGAAAGTCCACACTCAAATATAGACCCTATGACTTCCTGACAGCCACACAAAATGGTGAGAGAGGAGCCTTATGGCGTTCTTGGCTTGTATATCCTTAGCCCCTCCCCCACATGTAGCTTCCTCATCTTAAAACACAAATAAGTCTATCATACAGAGTAGGATATAAGAAAATAAAGAACATAAAATAAAGTGATAATTGCAATACACTTATAGCAGTTTATAATTCTGTTTTATAATCATGGCTATTTCCAAATAATACTAAGCAAGATATAGGCTTGAATTCCTTGCTGCTAAGAGAAGCTAACATTTTTATTAGTAGTTTTTAAAGGACATTAAGTGCTTGCAAGTTTATTCACACAATGCTAAGGATGTACATCTCTTCAGACTGTTTTCTTTAAAAACTGATCTCTTGACCCCTGGAGTTTTCTGGGATTCCTAAGGGATCTCCCCCACATTTACAGCCTTGTGGTGAAACTGACCACTCTGCCTGCAGGGGATGACAGCAGCAGCTGCAGACCACAAGAGTCAGCTATCCTGACACCTAGGCCAGGCCCTACATCACTTGTCTGTTCTTGAAGCTGTGCGTTCAGTCATTCAGCCAACCTTCATTAAGCAGAAAACACGAACTTTCCAACAAGTAGATGCCCTACAGCAGGGAACACACTTGTAAGCCCAGCACATGGAAGGCTGACGTGCGATGATGTTGCATTTAAGCCAGCCTGAGCTACATAGTAAGTTCCAGTCCAACCCCGGACTATTTAACAAGAGACTGTTTCAAGCAACAACAGGAAAATATTCTCTAACAATGGGCACAGCTGAGTTGTGGCTCTAGTTTGATTCATTTTATCCTTAGGGACATTCCAGGGTTTATAACCCAGAATTCTCCTGCTGAATGAGGCTCAGGCCAAAATAAAGCTAGGCAGTAAGAGTTACCACTCCCACCAAGATTTAAATAAACAAAATAATGCATTTGTGGTTATTCTACCATCATTTAAGACATGAGTTGGATCTAACTATTTTCCTTGCACGTAATAATTTAATAATTACACAGCAATTTCATAATCAAAAATCTGATTAGTGATGTCTGTTCCTGAGAATGCAAATTCAAATAACTTCTGCGGATTAGGATGTATTAGGCCAAAACGTGAATGTATACATTTAGACTTTTGTTCCTTTTGTTAGCTTGTGACTCAAGCCCAGTAACATATTTTCTATAAAGAATGTTGAATTTTCTGAGTGTTATCATTTTATTAATATCGTACGTCAGTGATGCCGGTGTAGAAAGAAGATAAAGAATCTTCCAGAGTCTGTTTCAGAAGCTACTTAATGATTTCTGGCTAGAGGAAGCAAATCAAAAGATGGTAGAGAGGCAGCTGGCTGGTCCAAGAGCAAATAGCACAGATTTGGTAACTGCCCAAATTAGTCCAAATCCAGGCTCAGGCATTTTCTAGTCCCATAAATTCTGAGTTCCAATTTCCATATGCTTTGAATGAAAGATTAAAATAGAAAGATAAAATAAAACCCAAGACGTATAAAGGGCTAACCATAAAGACACATTCAAGAAACTGGAATAGGATCCCACATGAGCCCTATCCTCGGCCCTGCCAATCAAGCATGCTGCGCTGGAAGTTTTACATCTGTTTCCTCTACAGCTTAAAGTTTCCGGAAGTAAAGTAACCACTCAGAACATTTGTGACCACTTGGAACTTTGTGTTTTTTCAAATACATCAGTACCAAATAATCCAGCAATTTTCTCTTCCTTTTTTCTCTAGAACTCTGGGAACTCAGTGGGTATTAAAATGAAGGAGGGAAGGAAGGAAGGAAAGGAGGAGGGAAGGAGGGAGGGAGGGAGGGAGGGAAGGAGGGACGGAGGGAAGGAGGGATGGAGGGAAGGAAGGGGGAGGGAGGGAAGGAAGGAAGGAGGGAAGGAAGGAGGGAGGGAGGGAAGGGAAAGAGATGGAAAGGTTACTGAAAGCACAGTTGAATTCCAAGATCTACTGGGAAGGTGCATGGAGGACCAACAGGCTCTGCTGATGGATGGGGGTGTGGGGTGTGAATGTACCCTGAGGTAAAGCACACACATACCTGGCATCTCTACATTCCAGTGGGTGAACTGCACCTGCTCCTCCACAGTCCACTGAAATGTCCCTTTGTTTTGTACATCTGAAAGTCCTATCCAAAAATATTTTTCAGGCCTCAATCCAACCAAACTAGTCAGGAATGCTTGTTCATATCTTTAAAAAAAAAAAATTCAATTAAACTTTAGAAACATTTATGCAAAATGTTTAAATTATCAGTATAAAAAGTATGTCAGATCTATATTTGAGCTATGATTTAGTCAGTAATTCAAGCATATGGCATTATTGTGTATTTCCTCTAAATTCAAACCTTCCCACTTGGAAGGAGAGGGAGGTTCATACAGACTCAGAAAACTAAGCAAATGTACAAAGCCCAGGAAGTTTATGAAAGTTACAAGACTCATGGGACCCCCTCCCTGAGATTATGTAAGCAGCAAATACTTGCTAATGAGAGGAAGCTCACTCGTGAAGTTGCCATGAACCGAGCAAGAGGCTCTAAGAGTACAGCTTTTGTGAACTGTCACCAGCACTGTGGGAAGTTTTTCAGTGATGCAGCTACCTCTGTGTCACCCATGCTCTTCAGCGTAAACTTTCACCCACACTCCTGTAAGTAACTCCAATAAACCTACCAATTCACCAAGCTAGATTTGAGTGGACTTATGTCTGTGGTCTGACATTGGTGTCCTATCTGGCATGAATAGACTTTTATTCACAGCTCTCCAGGAAAACTCACACAACAATTTTATATAAATTATAATATTTAATATTTTCTACTAAAGAAATATAGTCTTATAAAGGAAAAATACCATATAGCTGAGTGAATCAATTTACTCAAATCATTTCTGTCTGGTTCGCACACTGCCTTTCTGGATTGCTTCAAAGTTGAAGAGAATTTTGAAAATTCAAAGACGATAAGTATAAAACAATTGAAAAACTTATTTAAAACAATCGGTCCACTTCTCAAACAGGCTGGTGCTCAGATCAATTCTCGACTAAACAGGTTAGGGGTTAATAACATTATCAAGGACCATACACATGAATTCTGCCTCCAATATGGTAGGGAAGGCAGCAAAGAACTGTCTTAACTGCCAGACTTGAAATTATGCAGGCAACATAGGCCGAAATCTGTCTTGGGAATGAGAGAAAAGTGGCACTCGGTTTTCGGGAACACAGAGTCATAGATGGCTGTAGACAGCAGCAAAGAAATGTGGACAGTTCTGACAAAGGCAGAAATTTATCTGACCATAGTCTGAATAATTCCAGACACCTAAGTAGAACAAACAAACAAAAAAATTACATGCAATTTATGTTTTAACAGCTAAAGAGCAAATTCAACAAACGTAAACTCCTAAATGTAAATATCACAGAAAACACATGAAGAAAAATAAATACAAAAAAACATGTAAAATCTTGCTTTTTAATCAATCCATCATAGTGCAAGCCAGACCATAGTCATTTAGAAACGCAGATAAAACAGCTTAAGGCTGACAACTGGGATCTGAATTGAAGGTAGAGGGCGCCCTAGAGGGCTGAGTCCTCAGCCTGTGGGATCTGATGACATTGTTGGGTAAACAGTATTGAAATTTAATTGGATTTGTGAACACCCAGCTGGGGCACTGAAGAATTGTTCACTGGCTGGAGGAGAAATCGCCCTGCCTTTTGAGCTCACAGAAGTGATCAGAGTTGTGAGTGTTTATTAGAAGAAAATGGGTGTGAGTTGATTTTCCTAGTATGGCCTCCCTGCCCCATTTCCCATGGGGGGACTGGTAAAGCACAAGGTGGAGTGTTAGGCTGAAAAAGTTTACTTTTCCTGACTAAAGATTCTGACCCATAGTAAATCAGAAAAGGTTATGTCTATAAACTACACACAGTAGATTATTCATAAACGTCTGAATACTGCTTCCAGGAAGGGGTTGTGACACCTTTAATCCCAGCACTCAGGAGGCAGAGGCAAGCAGAGCTCTGTAAGTTCAAAGCCAGCCTGAATTACATGAGTTAGGGCAGCTAGAACTACACAGTAAGACCTTTTGTGACCCCTGAGGAACAGATCCTCAAATGACCTTAAGAGTAAAAATAAATTGGTTTATCTGGGCCAACTGTATGAACTAAACACCCAAAAGGAAAGTATAACCAAAGATTAAAGGGGCCAATATAATTTCTTAAGGGTCTGTATGTATAGCTAAAGGTTATATAACAAGCAACAATTCCAGATAGGAGATACCTTCTTTTGAGTTGTTGTCCAGGGTGGCCAAAGGGACTCCCAGATAGTAACCCATCACAGAACTGGGAAAATGAACAGCAGACCCCATTAGAAGTAAGTACCATCTATTGCTGTCAGAAGAAAACTGGCCGGAAGGTCAGAACTCAGGGACTGTAATTATGCAGTTAGACATTTATCTTATGCATCTGTGTTGCTTCTAGAGAAAGCCTATACATCTTAACATACTGAGGATTATCAGGCTTTGTATATGGTTAGAACACTTACTACAGTATAATTATGACTTCTACAAATCAGAGCAAAAATATAGAGAAATACTCACTTTGTATCTCTGTTTTTCCAGGTTTCTTCTCCCCTGGCTTTGCTGGACCACCTGTTTGAACTGAGTCAAAACCCCATTATTACCAAAGGAAATTACTCCCAAAAATATTTCATAAAATAGAACAAATACATTGTTCTCTAACATTGTATCTTAAGTGTTTGGTCTTTCTCAACTTGTCATAATGTTAAATAATAATTTTATTTCAAATAAACTATTTACAAATAAAATAAAACCTGTTAAGTTTTAAATGATTTTCACGGAGAACATTTCTGTTACTTCCAGAGACCAGGATAAAAATGGCTGTAATGAAATGCTTCTTCTAATCATGTAGTTATTAAATTTTTAAAAAATTTACTTCATGTTAAATAGTACCTGATGACTTTATATCCATACTCAGGTACTAAAGATCCGAGTGTACCCGACTGTGACTAGTAATAATCAGATACATAGAGATTAAAGACACATGTGCAAACATGTAAGCGTTAGTAGCACTAAAAATGTAGAAACAGCATATCTTAAAATGAAATGGAAATATTCTTTAAAGGGTAAAAACTCATTCAATTTTGTGTCTTACAGGGTTTATACTGAGTTCTATATTGTATGACAGCATTAATTCAACTGCAAACCTAAAAATTTACAGCCACCTTTGAAAGAGATGTATCCTTGCTCTGGAATGTGTTACTGAATATGTTAAAGCTGTAATGAAATGCTTCTTCTAATCATGTGGTTATTAAATTTAATAAAATAATTTAATAAAACAAATATAAAAGTAGTATTTTGTCAATGTTTTCAATGACGCTTTCAAATTAGAATGTTATTTTAAATGTTTATAACTTTGTAAACTATACTTCAAGATCACACAAACTAAATTTTACAGCATGCTAATTCTTAAATCTTTTGAAAACTTTTCACTGTTTGACATATTTTAGAATGAATTTAAAATAGTTACATACCTGTCTTCAACAGTTGTTAAATAAGCTTTCTCATTAACGCATGTTTGATTTGCATCTGCAAATGCTGCAGGTGTGTGTCCAATCAAGTAGCAGTGAAAACCATGCCTTTTCCAGCCCTATGAACGTCATCAGGTCATAAACAAACGAACAGATTATGAGGCATATTTATTGGAAACATTTCAAAAATGATTCTATCGCACAACACAAATTGATACCCAGTAGCAATGTCTAAAGAACAGGAATCTGAAGTCTCTCTTATAGAATAATCACAGAAAATAACCTGAGGACTTGCAACTCTAGATGTTCACTGCTGTCAGCAGTAGATGGTGAACATAAAACTGTGTGTGGCCTGGCCATCTGAGAGTGCTCAACAAACCTCAGGTAACATGACTTCATGCTGCTCCTTTCCCACATTTCAGATACACAGAAATACTCAATAAAACCACGCAAATAAAAATTCATGCAAGAGCTTAAGAGCAAGAAGAGGAACCTTCTAGACACAAAATAAGCAGAATATTAAAACGCAGAATACAAAATGCACAAGCTAAAGGTGTGGTTGGCTAAGGGTGTGCCAAATCCAGATTGAGGTCCAGAGACAAGGTCTTCCTGCCCACACAGAATATAGGATTTAACCTTCATCCAACTTGATGTAATACATTGAAACTAAGATCCTTATGTAAAGAAGATACCACAAAGGATAGCTTTGAATCCCAAACTAACGAGTCTTGTCATCTGCCTGGGGTTCTGGGTACTAGAAAAAATTCTTCAGTTTAAAAGTAAATGCTATCTAGGCATGAGTATAATGTAGCACTTGGGAAGCTTATTCAAGTCTGAGGCCATCTGAGGCTACGTAGCAAGACCTTGCCTCAAGAAGACAAGGATGGAGGATGTATCTCAGAGGCAGAGTGCTTGCCGAGTGTTCAGGTGTGTAGGTTTTAACCCCAGTACTGCAAAAGTCAGTTAAGCAATAGCTAAGTCTGCGCTACAGATAGGTGCTAATCCCACCTTTGCACTGTTCACATCATGCGAGATGGAACTCATGACCAAAGCACAAAGTAATGCTTGGTATACAAAAATAAATCAGGCACTCAAAGAAGAATACAAAACCCTACAATATATCTCCTCAGACCAGGTCATGGGAAACAATAGCATCTATGCTAGGGAAAGAAATGCAGATGAGCACTGACTCACAAACAACGTTGATAAACTATGCAAGAAATGGTCTCATTTTAGGAACCACTGAGATAACAGAACAATCAGAAAACAGTATTATATAGTTAATTATGGTTGACACGATATGATCAAAAAATATAATAAATATCAAAATACGATGTACCAAGAACAGGAGGATTTGAACCAAAACATTTAATTTATAGAATAGAAAAGCAAGTGATGAAGTTAAAAATTCAACAGAATAAATACACTAGATATGGTTTCAGAGAGAATTAGTGAATCAGATAGAGGGATGAGAAGATAAAGGAGGCTTAAAACATGATTAAAAAATGCAAACTTGGGGGACTGAGGAGGTTATTCGGTGGTTAAGAGCACTGGCTGCTCTTCAAGAGGACCTGGGTTCAAGTCCCAGCACCCACATGGTGGCTGAAAACCATCCGTAACTCCAATTCCAGGAGATCCGATGCCCCCTTCTGACCTCTGTGGACACTACATGACATGGGTGCACTCACATACAAGGAGGCATTATACTCATACACATAAAATTTTTAAAATAAGACTTGGGCTGCGGCAGTGACTTAATGAATAAATGCTTGTTGTGTAAGTATGAGGACTGGGGTTCAGATCCCCAGAACCCACAGAAAAGCCAGGCAGGCATGGTGGGTGCCTGTACTAGCAGCACTCCAGAGGCTGAGATAGCTGATCCCCAGGACCAGTCGGCTAGCTAGATCACGAGGAATTAATGAGCTGCAGGTTCAGTGAATGACCTTGCCTCAGAAAATAAAAGTGAAAAGTGATCAAGGAAGGCACTTGACATCAATGTTGGGCCTTCACATGCATGTGCACACATATGCATGTACACATGTACCTACATATATGTCAATATGCATACATACATGCACAAACACCACACACATATGAAAAGAAGATAAAATATAGATACTAGAATGGGAGATCAAACATCTCGAAAGAAGTTTCAAAGCACAGTGAATAAAATTTGTTGTGTGATAAGTATTCATGAATTGGAAGGTAAGTATAAGTCCTCAAAAATGAAAAATCTCACACAACAAAAAAAAATGGGTTAAAGGAGTTGTAATGGAAACATAATATATTTTGTACTAGATCATAATAAAACCAGTGTTTAAAACCTAGTGGCTGATCCAAGGTTTCTTTATATAAGCATTTTAAAATACCCATTTTAACATCATATCGATTAACTCTCCTGTGTGAAAACCGTGGGGATACATTCTATAAATTGTGGCTCAAATGCATCTGTGGGGTCTCTACAGCCTGAGGAAAGACTTTCATGAGGAAGTTTATATTTGCACCTGCCAGGCAGTGTGGAATATTAGCAACCCAGGACCAGTGTGTATTAATTTCTGTACATAATGTTTCCCATTCTGGTAACATCAAATTGGCACTGGAGGTGGAAACAAACAATCCCAGGGCTCATTGGTCACCCAACCCAACCTATTTCATGGCTCCAGGCCAATGAAAGGCCTCACTTCACAAAACAAAGTGGGCAAGGACACCTTGGTTTGTCATCTGGTCTACACACACAACACACACACACACACACACACACACACAAGCATGCATGCACAAGTATGCACATGCAACTGCACGTTCATGAACACATACACACATACATATACATACATACATGCTCTCCCCCAAAGAAGAAAAAAATGGACCCCAAATCCATTATAACAGTCTTCTGATCTTAAATCCCTTGTATACCATGCGTGCTCAGACACAAATGTCCTTTTATCTTCCCTTCCTGCTTCCCAGCCTTTGAGTAATTCACTACCCATGGATGGCATTTTCTTTCTTTCTTTCTTTTCCCCATGATATAAGAATACAATTTTATAATTGTTATGCCATTCCTTAAAATATTATAAAAAAAATCATGATACAGTGATTTTTCCACTCTGGGAAGGTCAAAGATTTGTTTCTTTGTTTTGAGACAGTCTCCCTGTAGCCCCAGTTAGCCTGTAGTTGCTTTAGTTAGCCCAGTTTAGTTGCAGTTAGCCCAATTGCTTTGTAGACCAGGCTGGCCTTTATCTCAGAGAGATCTGCCTGCCTCTATCTCCAGAGTGCTAAGATGAAAGGTGTGTGCCACCATACCCAGCTATTAGAAAATTTTTAATTAAAGTAAGAAATACACATCTGGCCAAGCAGCTAAAAATAGTCTATTTTGAGCTTCACTACAACTCTGAGAAGACTAAGAATTCTAAAACATGTCTTTTTTAAATTGCAGTAATCCCCACTCTCCCATGATACTTTCCTTCAAACTAACTTGCCTGTAGCCTTAGCTCAAATATTCTATCCCAGACTACATGGCACTTATATTTATCACATGGAATTTTAAGGAAATATTTTAAATAGTTGACTTAATGGTATAACCTTTAAAATGGCATTTTCAAACTGGCCATATTATTTAATTTCTCTGAGTTTCAGTTTCCTATTCTTTTTAAATAAAACTATACTGAGTCTCTCCTGTAGGTTCATTAGAACATGGGAATCACTGAACTTGAGAAATGGCTACTGGTATTTCCTTACTTGTTATTACCATCTAATGATTAAATTTGGATTACTATCAGATTATGGGTAAAGTGACAGTTGATAGGAAATGTCTAAAACATTGACTATGTGGAAGTAATATGTTAAGTGTCTTAGGAAATAGACAGTGAGATACCATCTCCGACATATGCTTATGATCAGATAAAGACAGTGAGTGTGCTGATAATGAAACAAAGTGTACCATCCTGGGGACAGGGACCTGGGCTCCAGCCTTGCCTCTGTTGATGCCAAGATGTCTATGTAGGGGGGTCAGTTGGTAAAGCCCTTGCCTTGCAAGCATGAGGACCTGTGTTTGATGCCCAGTACTAGAGAAGCTGGGCGTGGCACTTGCTTGTAATCCCAGCACTGGGGAGCTGGAGACAGGCAGATCCCTGGGGCTTGCTGGCCAGCCAGCCTAGTCCTACTAGGTGGAGAACTCAAGGCCAGTAACACATGCTGTTTCAAAAAAACTTTCCAAGGTGGATAGTACACACTACCTGATGAATGATACCCAAGGTTGCTCGATAACCTACATATACATGTCACACAAGTGCATGCATCCCTTCACACACACTTGCACCTACATGAACATGAACACACGCACATCAAAAAAGAAAAGAAACCTGTACAGCTTCTGAAGGCTGACATTTCCGAATTGCAAAGATAGGAGAGGAATTTGCTCATTGCTAAGATCCTTCCTACAGCTCACGCGCTGTGATTTTCTGCTACTGCTCCATTTTTCTTTACAGCTTATTTGTCCTATACTAAATCACGTGTCCTAAATTCTTAGTCTTGTGGTGTTATCAAATGATGCAACTACAGCTTAGCACTTATGGAAAGACAATTAGTTCCCACTTTGTGGTTAATTCAAGAGAAGTGAGAAACAAAAGAGGAAGACAAGCCTCTTGGAAAACAGAAAAACAATAACCAAGGACCTAAAAACTATATTTGTAATTGATTTATGCTTTTAAAAATATTTCATAAATCATTTATTTTATTCTCTAAGAACCATAAGATAGGCAGGAAGGTGCTACTAACTGTGGCTGAGCTACTGTCAGCACCAGCGGAAATCTAGGTGCCCTACCCCCCACTGCAGAGATTTCCTGAGAGCTTTTCCCACTAGAAGAAATTTAATCCCAAATCTGTACATTGGAGCAGTGACCAAGGATAGCTTGCTATCAGTCCTAAAGATTGTCCACTGGAAATGTTCTTAACCATCCATAGGATCACAGACCACCCATGCCTGCATGACATCTTCCCTCGTGGCCTGAATCCATCTCATTGTCCACTTCAGGATCCGTTCAGCATTTCATTTTATTCCCTGCTCTCCTAATTTTCATGACACTCTGAATGGAGCCAAGGAAAAAGATCCCCCTTTAAACTAAAGAACACTCAAGAAAACTTGGAGGACAGCGGCACCAGACACAGTAAGCTTTTAATGTTCGGAGAGCTGAAACATTGGGGTTTGATGATAAGAAAGCATTTTCTCATACAAAATAAAGTCCATCGTATCAAATCCTATTTGCTGATCTACATTACTTTGCACAGTGTGTACTCACTTTCCTGCAGCCTCTTTCTGCCTCCTCTGGTTGTGGAGCCTGGGCTTGTGATTTCATCTTGCAAATGTAACCAAGCGGTTGTTCACAGGCTCTGTCTGCCCAGTACCCATCCTACAGAGAAAAGGGAGAAATGAATGAGCATCTGTTTTATAACAGTGGCACATTAGTTTCATGTTAAAATTTGCTCTCCTTTTGACTGACAACTATCTCAAGTATTTAGTACTGTCCTTTAATTTAAGTATCCATCTGTATCTACTGCAGTTTAGTATCCAGCCCTCCAGCCAGGGTAACATTTATAAATTACATATTTAGTTTTCTCCCAAGATAATAAATTTGTGTCTTGATCCTCAATTCTGATGCCCCTCCCGTCTAACTCTTGAACGGTTTTCTCTGGCTTCTGCCTAGTTTTTGGGTGCTTTGCATACTTTTTTAAAAATATAGATTCCAATAAATTATTATGAAAAAACAAAAAGTAGCTTTCATGACAAAATATGACAAAACTAGTCGGAGTATTTATTAGCAATAAGTTTGTGTCAGAAATTATGAATAATATATACATTAACCCCTTTAATCCTCATCTTCACTGGGAGGTGTTTACAATTATTATCCCACTTTGCAAATAAGAGAAGTCGGGCAGCAAGGCCCAGCCTCTTCACCCCCATATGCACCATCTATTAACAGAAGAACATTTGATATCATTGATTGAGATAATCACATTTAAAACAGGAAAGCAAACATTTCATACAAGACTTCTGTGTAACCTGAAAAATCAAATATAGTTCTTCAGTAACGGATTTCAGAATAAAACTCAAAACAGATCCAAGTCTACATCTGGGGGGAGAAACACTTCAAGGTATAGCCAAAGTTCTGGTTTGATGGACCAAATCATATATATATACATATACATATATGGTCATCTAAATACTGCTGCATATACGTACATACACTAGAACTCAGCACAGGAAGGGGAAGAGTATTAATTATTACTTAATGTTTTCCTTGCACCAAGAATTTCGAATCACTTATATTGTGGTCTTAAAATCAACTTTGTGAGGCTGGAGAGATGGCTCAGTGGTTAAGAACACTGGATGTTCTTGCAGAAGACCCGGGTTTGAATCCCAGCACCCACATGGCAGCTAACACAGTCCCAGAGGATCTGACAGCCTCTTCTGACCTCTGTGGGCATTGCATGACACGGTGCACTTACCTACATGCAGGCACAACACTCATACACATAAAATAAAAATAACATTTTTTTAAAAAAAAATCAGACTTTGCTAGACAATTGAAACTCAAGACACGGAATCTGAATCTTGGTCCAACCTGAACCTGCATCAATTTATCTACAATAGAAATAGTCACAACAAACCGATAATCAGCAGAAGAGAACTCGTGAGCCTTGCCAGGTCCGAGCAGAGCTGCCCTACCTTGCCTTTCATCACCACGCAGTCCTCCTGCCTGTTGTTCTCATGACTTGGCTCTCCACGAAGCCATTTGGTAAAGGTCACAGGGGTCCCATCACTCCACTCAAAGTACATTTGAATCTTGATGTCATTTAAGCCAATCCACAGCTCATCATTTGGTTCTATATAGGAAGAAAGACATCTAAATAAGGTATACAACAATGACTTTCTGAAGGTCAGCAGGGCATCGGAAGGATGACACGGGGCTTGCCCACTCAGCTCTGCTCCCTTGATATTGGAACTGTATTAAAAGATAATCCTCTTGGATGTTAGTATGACCTGCATGCTACAGACTCACGTCAGTTACATTTCATGATGTCAGTTTTGGGTTGTGCAATGTGTTCTTTCCATCATAAATATGCTGTATTTTTAGTTTCAGTATTGTATTTCCTGGGAATTATAAAAATGAAATGATCACCTTCAGTCTTGTGAGGCTATATTTTTGTTATATGAACAACTTAACGTGTCAAGGATACTTATATTGCTAGAAATATGATATCTTACATATATAAATACATTTGACTAACATTAAAGCTTATGAATATTTTTTTTGTCTTTTTGAGACAGGGTTTCCCTGTAGCTCCAGCTGTCCTGGAACTCACTATGTAGGCCAGGCTGGCCTTGAACTCACAGAGATCCGCCTGCTTCTGCCTCCCAAGTGCTGGGACTACAGAGCTTATGAATATTTTAAGACAAATTTAAAACTACTCCTGCTTCACTGACTGTTACTATTAAGAACATTCTAGGTACTTCTGTTAAAGTTTAATCACTCAGGCATGAAAATGATTTAGACATTGACAGAAATTTAAACTAAGCAGATAGGTTGGCTTCTGACATTTATACACACATATTTATGTAATCATATGCACTACAAAATGCTATTAAATACCATCAAAACTCAAAAAATCCATAAAAACAAAATATGACCAATTTGTAAAATTCTCTGGAAGGCATTAATAATTTTATGAGCAGTTATCTTCCTAAGATAAAACACAACACAGAAAAATAGGACAAAGTTGTAGTGATCCAAGATCTAAGATTTTTAAGGCTGTCAATTGAGCATTTCCAAATAAAAATATTAACTATTAAGCTATTGTATGCTATGCATACAATTCAGTATCTAACTTGGTTAACTGGAAATTACATTGTGAATGTTTGATTACGATCTTTGCATGGTAAAATTAAATGACCTCAAAGGATAATAAAGATGACTTTTGGTGGAAAATGAGGACAACATCCTACAAGAATTTCCCTCAGTGACCGAGATTCTTCTAAAAGCGGCCACTCGACCTCGCTTTTGGAGAAGTCCTCAATTGGCCTCTTGCCAGCTCCAACAGATGTTTCCAGTGTCCTGAAGCCTGAGGGGCACTGCCAGGGTGGCACCCTCCTCCTTTCACTTGAGTTGGCAGAACACGATCCTTTGAGTAACACATACAGGCTTCAAAGAGCTCTCGTGTACCTCTCAAGGATTTTTGGTTGAAGATCAATGTAAAATCACACAATTATATGAAATAATGATCCCCATATATTTTTTATTTTTGTTTTTTTTTCAGCTTACATTTAGGTTTTATTTGGGCACTTCCATATATATCCTTACTAAACTGTTCTCTTCTTAGATCTTTTGTAATTCCTAAATAAAGTCTACAAATATATGCATACATGTGTGATGCATTTGTTTAAAATTGCTAGACCGATTTTCATAAATCAGTTGAATAATTTGTGCTAACTGGTATTAATACCCTATGTGCTCAGGCCCCTGTTTGTTTTCTGATATAGAAACAATAATATCAAATCTTTACAACTTTATCAAGATTATCTTACTCTAGCAAATACAAAAATGGAGAAAATGCTTTATTGAAATAAATATAAATGATGTATTTTAAGTGCATGGTTTTGCATAACATTTTTGCAATGGAGACCTCTCTAACTTGCTCATTTATTCTCAAGCGGACTTCAGAAGTAACCATTGCCACCCAGCTTCCCCAGATAATTAGAGCAGTAACAATACATGCTCTGCTGTTGCTATACCATGTTATAGACGCAGAGTAGGATTCACATTGCCTTTCACATCTTAACTAACCTGCTTCCAACACTGATTCATTTGCAAGATTCCTATTAGGTCAAGATAAACTGAAATGACTGGTTGTTCAGAAATACCCATTATGATCACAATATCATCATTTAATCTGCGTTTCCCAGGCTAGGTGAGCATCGAATGATGAAGAAATTGTTTACATGCTATAAAGGTTATTTGTGTGTGTGTGTGTGTGTGTGTGTGTGTGTGTGTGTGTGTGTGCGTGCGCATGCGTTCACCAGAGGATGACCTCGGGTGTCTTTCCTCAGGTGTCATTTATTAAATTTGCCAGGTTGCCCAAACTGGCTGGACAGTGAGCACCAGGGATCCACCTATCTCTGTCTCCCCACTACTGGTGGCAGGATGGCCGGCACACCCAGGTTTCAGAAAGGTTCTGGGAATCTTCATGCTGGGTTCCGTGGAACCATCTCCCTAGCCCTGAAGAGACGCAATTCAGTCAGGTACACAGAGGCAAATGATTTCTCTGGATTCAGGTGCTAGGCACAGTTGCATTTGCAAGCATCTCTGTCTTTTACCAAGCCCTCTGTTTTTTCTTGTGTATTTGTTAAATGCTTTTTTCTTTTCCTGTACCCTGATCAGTTTTCAGGCAACGTATGTCAGGAAGCAAGCTCTTCCATCATCACCATTCATTTCCTCTTGTTTGGCTGGGTGGAGATGAGGAACATCTGCAACTCTTCAGCAGTAGCATGGGGGTGGGGGTGTGTGTGAAAACAATCAGCACTTAATCAGTGAGTTCTGCACAGGGCCCGACCCTCTGCTTTGTAACTGGCTCTTCCTCCAACACACATTCCCAGCTCATTTCACTCAGCTATTATTTTCTTTCTGGTTTTGCACATTTTTATGTGTTCTTAAAATTATATATCTAAAAGTGAGACATTTCTTTCAAAGACTGCACAGTGCTTTTAGCGATCACTCACTTCTTCTACTGTTAGCTGAATTAGTAAAGAAAAGAAAATCCCAAGTGTGAGATGATTCATTTAGACACATTCCTTGTGAGCCATGACATGGGTCTTACAAAAGAAAATACGCACATATTCATAATTCCAACATATTAGACACTGTTGACAAGTTAAACACAGATATCTCTGAATCCTAATATGTGGAAAAATAATACTGAAAACTACCCATAGAGAACCATCTAGTTAAGTCTCTTTATGATAAAATTATTTAAATTACTATATAATTTTCACCTTGTCAGCATATTTACAATTTATTTAAATTCATATTGGTGATGTAACTGTCAGTTTTAATTCACTGTTAATTACATGTTAATGTTAATTTACACTTAACATTTATGATCATGTTTCCCAGAGGCAGGCAAAGAGCAGGCACACCGGGGCGGGTTCTCACCATATCCTAGCTGGGAGAAGATGAAGTCAAATTCCTCAATGCTGTGGATACTTGCTAGGTCACCCCCTTCCTTCCGGCATGCTTGCAAAGCATATTTCTGGATCTTTTTCTCTTCTCTGTGGATCTTGTAGCAGTGGCCTGCATATGGCCACCAGTGATTGGGACAGCCAGTAGGCACATCACTTTCTAGAAAGGCAAAAATGTTCAGAAAACATTTTAAAGAGGCATGTTTAAATTTGTGACCATATTTTCCATCATTCAATATATAAAATGCTTCCTAGTCATAGACATAGATAACATTCTTCATCTTCTGGTATACACATTCATAAAAGAAAGATGAGAAAGAAATATTCAATTTTGCTTATTTTGTTAAAATGCAAAACAATTTAAAAACCTTTAACTTTAAAATGAACTCAAGGGCTGATGAAAGAACTAGAAGTTAATGCCCTTGCCTAGTATGTGTGGGGCCCTAGGTTCAAATCCCAGGACCTAAAAATGTAAGCTAAAATGAAGACAAATGAGAAATATCTTTTTAAAATGTCATACCTGCAGCAAGACTGCACAATAGATTGTCTAATTTCATCTGTACTTATCATAAGCACACATGAACTAAGCATCTATGATGTACTGTTGGCATGCTGGAAGCCTGAACATTTTCATGTAAGATCTGTTCTCTAAAGGACCACAGTATACCTTTTCCCCTGTCATTCACATTCAACAAAGAAAGGCAATACACATAGGCAGCTAGGAGTAGTGTAGAATGGGTGGGGACATGAGAGCTACCAGTAAGTTCTGCAATCATTACAGCATGGGCAACCATCTGTGCCTCTGAACTGGCACAATACCATTTATTTCCTTCTAAATGAACTAAGTAGACATATATATGGTAACCATACTAAGTTACTCATCCTTACTGTGTCCTGAACTAGGAAAGATCAGAGACAAGCATTTGTAAATGGCAAATACCATAAAATCATTAAGTAAATCAGCCTTGAGCATCCTCACTGTTGCTATCAACAGTTGCTGTTAAATTTCATAATCTTATTATATGTTGTAAAACTTTAATAGTAATGAGCTGTGGAAAGCAATAGTGGAGATGTCTGAAGGGGGAGAGATCCTTTTCATCCCCGTATGTCCTTGAACCTAGCACAGGGCCTGACACATGGAAGGTACCATGGGTGTCATAAAGAAACCTGACATGGGGGATGGAGAGATAGCTCAGCGGTTAAGAGCACTGACTGTTCTTGCAGAAGACCTGGGTTTGAATCCCAGCACCCACATAGCAGCTAACAACTGTCCATAACTCCGGTCCCAGGGGATCCGACAGCCTCTTCTGACCTCCGCGAGCATTGCATGACACAGGTGCACCTGCCTACGTGCAGGCAATACACCCACACACATAAAATAAAAATAATAAATTTTTAGAAAGTTTTAAAAAGAAACCTGACATGAGTTTTCTTCTGTGGTGCCATTCTAAACAACACTCTGGTAACATTCCTTGCTTGCAGAAGAGTTATCAAACAAAGAGCAATATATTTATTTAAGCTCGAAATTAAATATGTTGCTATAATTAATGTACAATATCAGGTCCCTTTTGTCATTTTTTTATTAGAGATTGAGACTGGGTCCCACTCTGTAGCCCAGGCTTGCCTTGAACTTATGATCCTCCTGCTTCAGTCCCTCAACTGCTGAAATGATAGATGTGACTCTCACAGCTGTCCCCATCATCATTCTTTTAATAAATAAGTCCTATTCCTCCTTAACAGCAGAGACTGTCTGAAACCTCATCATACGCAGCCAGCATGTGAGAAATAACTAAATCACAGCACCCTACACTATGCTGTATAAAAGAAAATGCATATTTGAAAATTCTATTCCCTTAGTACAACTTCAATTCTGTATACTCTCAGTGGTTACCAGAAAGTGAAAAGGACCAGCACAACTCTAGGGCCCTCTGGTGGGATATTTTAATTTTGCTGTCTAGGAAACAGAAAATAATGTCAACCAACTCTAAAGGCTTCAAACACTGAAGAGATGAACCTGAAAACTTTTTGTTGTTGTTTTTGTTTTGAGACAGGTTCTCCCTGTAGTCTCAGCTAGCCTGGCACTCACTATGTAAACCTCCATCTCACAGAGATCCCCCTGCCTCTGCCTCCCATGTGCTGGGACTAACGGTGTGAACCACCACTCCTGCCTCCTGAAAACAGTTTTAAAACAGCTACTAAGGCTGAAGGTTGGTAGTAGAATGCTTGTCTATCACGCGTGAAGCCTTGGGTTCAAGTTCCAGCACTACAAGATGCAAAACAAACACAAAAGTTTTAAGGCATGAAATAACCAACCCAAGTGAAATGAAGGGGAGCCCCCTGAGGCCACCACAAAACATCCCTTGTCCCTCAGCAGGCTCAACATTGTCCATAGAATAGTCATGAATGTGAGTCACACTTTAGATTTTCTGTTAGCCATAGTCAATAAAGTAAACAAGTAAACTTCAATAATAGGATTTGTTTGACTCTATATATCCAAAATATTATCATTCCCATATGTGATCAACTAGGATGAGACTTTTTCATAATTTTTTTCATGCTGAGTCTTGGAAATCCGTGTGCATTTACACTCTCAGCTCATCTCAGTTCACATCAAATATATTTCACTCCAGAAAAGCCAAATGGTCAGTGGCTGTGAAACGGCACAATTCTGCTTGAGACCCGAAAACAGACAAGCCGAGGAGTGTGGTGAGTACTCAACGGGCACGAGGCTGGATTCCCGCCAAATGGGGCTCGCCAGTCATGATGCTGCAAATTCTGATCTCTGCATTTAAGAGTTTATGGAATCAGAAGACTACCACTGACAGTAAGTATAAAGATGCACAAAAGCTAATGTCAAGAGAGGCTGGGCACGTGAAGCAGGAGGGAGAGCGGAGAGAGAGGGATTTGTGGCTCTCTTGATGAGATGAATGAGATTTTTCAGGAAGAAGGTATTATATTTATACTTTACAAATGAGGAACTTAAAACCGGCAGATCAAGCAATAAGGACAAGTTAAAGAATTCTGTCTCTCATTTCAGAGAAACGAGAAAATAACCTTTCTCTCCTTCCCCAAATGGCAACCGCAAGATTCTGAAGAGAACTGTATGAGCTCTTCCACAAAAGATTTATCCATCCTCCCCACAGTAAGAATACAAGAGATGCACTGCAAAAATGAGTGAAGCCTCCCCAGGTTGGAGCACAGTCACTATAGGAAGTCGAAAAGTGTAAGTGAGCTCATGAGCCGGGGTCCTCATCCACGTCCATAGGCAATCACGAACCAAAGCCCCACCAACACACATCCACATCCATAAGAGATCATGAACTATCCCCCATCCACATAGCCCCAGCTGTCCTGGAACTCACTATGGAGACCAGGCTGGCCTTGAACTCACAGAGATCTGCCTGCCTCTGCCTCCCTGAGTGCTAGGACTAAAGGCGTGCGCCACCACACCCGGCCAATATTTTTAATTTACTAAAACCAGCAATTTCGCTTCTAGGAATTATGATGTTTGCAACAATAGAAGTCAACTAAAAATTGAGGCTGAGTTGATAGTGGTGCATGGTCACAGGATATGCTCAAGAGGCAGACGCAGGAACACCACAAACTTAAAATCTCTTAACAGGAGACTAGTGTCTCCATGCAATCCCTATTATCCAGTCACAAAGTATATGGAGAATCAATTTATGTACTAAATGGAATAATGAACAAAATTGTTGTCTATTAAAAAACTTAGGGTAAGGACTATATACAAAGTATGCTGCCATTTATACAAAATAGAGGGAAACCTGTAAATTTGTGTGCCTGTATACCACAGAATAACCAGGTGGGGACACACTCATTAACACCAGTTCTCAGAGAACAGCACCAGGAGGCAGAAGGAAAACAAGAGGGGAAGATACCATTATCACTTGGCACCTTCTAAATTTCTAGCCATGTCAACATATTTAAAATTATATAAAATCGCTTCCAAGAATCAAGGGAGAAAAAAGTCAAGAATGCACCACCAGCTTCCCAATCAGAAAAAGTAAATAACTAAAACAATGTAAAGACTAGTTATCATCCAGAGAAGGGCTGGTAGCGAAGGCTGCATTTCAACACTTGGAAAGTAGTTGCTGCCTTAGCAACTTAACTCTGCTATTGAATTATAATGGCACAGGTTCTGGAGCATTTATCCTGGCGCCCAGCCTACGTATATTCAGCTGACTCTCTTTGGAATTATTATGTGAGGATTTCAGTGTAAGATGCAACATGAAACCTAGCTTTATCTGTGTGAACAGAATAAAGACATCTCTTCCAGATACTTATTTCTTAGTTTAAATTTCAACTTTGTCATCGTGCAAGACTATGGGTGCCTCTTTTCTGTAACACGTGAAAAAGAATTCCTATTTTACAGGGCTGGGGAGATGAAATTCTTATTTCTATCAAAAGCTTTGCACAATGTTAAATACTCCATCACCTTCAGGACCAGCAGATAGTACTAAGTGAAGAAAAGAGCTTTAGGAGAATATCATTCTAGTTACCCACAAACTACCAACAAAATCCCCACAGTTGTTTGGTACTATTACAATGAAGCTGCAATTTTACTTGTCTTTAACTTCTAATATTTTGTGTATTCCAATCCAATAGGTTCACTTACCTGAGGGAATGATAAAAGGATTCAAAGTATTGTTGCCCTTTTTGCAAATATAACCTAGTTTCTGAATACACTCCAGATTTTCCCATTTAGCATTTTTTCCAGGGTTTAGTGACACACAGCTCTTTCCAGGTTCTGATGATGGACTTCCTTTAAGAGAATGAAAAAGTTAGAGAGGGGCTACTAAAGTTCTAAGTCGATCACCTCTTCATCCTTGGGATTTAATGGACCCCCATCCTATCTTTTGCCACACATTCACAAATAAATTTTACTGACTGTAGAGCAAAAGACATGATGGGTATCTATTTGGCTCCCTGTTGTTGGTGCATTCCAGTACCTAAAATGATGATTATACAGAATAATTTCAACTCAGCACCTCCACCAATGAGCAGTACTAGGCCTTAAACTTTAAACAGATGAGATGACAGAGTATATCACGTGACACAGAGAGGAGACTAACAAAACAGTGTATCCTGGGGCTGGAGAGGTGGCTCTGCAGTTAAGAGCACTGGTTGTTCTTGTAGAGGACCTGGGTTCGAGTCCTAGCACCCACATGGCAGCAAACAACCATCTGTAACTCCAGTTCCAGGGGATCCGATGCCCTCTTCTGACCTCTGAAGGCATTGCATGACATGGGTGCACTTACATACATGCAGGCAATACACTCATACACATAAAAATAATAAATAAAATATTTTTTAGAAAAACTTGTAAAAAAAACCAACAATCTATCCTGTTCCAAGTTGGATATGTTAATATTATCAATAGAGACCCCTCAAAACTAAGGCAAATGAATTGTAAGAAACAGGTTAGATGATCTCTGTATGTGAGGAAACCTTCCCCAATTAGAGAGACTAGAAGAGCTGGGAAAGACAGAGGCAATAGAAGAGAGATCTCTAAGCCAATGAGTCACTCCCAGAGCTAAGACTCTCTGGAGCCTCAACATTCTGGGGCTCACTCCTCATTCAATTCCTTCAGGAAGCTGCTTAAAGAACCGGATAAGGCCAGCATCACTAAGACAATGTATCCATCCCCACATCTCTCATGATTTTTACTCCTCTGATACCTGATTTGAAACCCAGAAAGTAAGTTCACCTTACATCAGAAACTGGGAGATGGGCCACACACATTCATATATTTTCTTTTATGACTTTTGACAGATATTTAACATGCACCCAAAATTACTCTCTCTTCCTGCAAAATAGAAATTATGTTACCTGCCCTAGAAAGTCTTTATTAGAAAAATTTTCAGGTTGCATAAATACTACAAACACACACACACAAATGTTAGTAATAACTACAAAAGAGGTTTTTAAAAATATGTTAATAATGTGACGGAGATGGTGGGAAAGCAGAACCAGGATTCAGTGTCTGTGCTGGGAAAAAAACTTTTGTCATTAATTTGTATTGAGAATTATACATAATATGTCTGAAATATATGAATATGTATATCTGATATATAAGCAAATTTTCAATTAGAATGTCAAAAATTCAGGTGGGTCAAGAGATTCACAAAATTTAGGGAGGACAAGTCACACAAAAAGTTGAAAGCATTTAGTCAGACTTTACAAATAGTTGTTGGACAATGCTTTCAAGGACAGTGACAGAGTTGGTACAACATCAAGTACATATTAATAGTAATGATTCTGTTATTATCTTTAATTAGTTGTGTTTAAGAGTAGCTACAACACATGCTTTTAAACACAATACCTTAACAAATCAAAGCCACTTGGAGAAGGCAGACATAAAACACAGGTGTGTATTGACATGCGTGATTATCCTGGCAGGCAAGTCTTCACTCGAGGAAAGGCATGCAGATTTCAAGGCAGGGTGAGAAATGGGCTATGTTCCATGAAGTATCTTTAAAATCTACATGTGAGGTGATAAAGGTCTTCAACCACAGACAGGCTTAGCCTTACCTGGGAGCCAGTTCAGATATCGGAACGGGCTGCCTCCACTCCACTGCCAACCACTGTTGAAACTCAAACTGTTAAGTCCAATCCAGAGTCCTGAGGTCAAGGAACTGGTCAAGCCTACGTAACAAGGACCAAGAACTGACATTCAGAAAAGAGTGAAATTCAATTCAGAATTAAATGTGTGAATCAAAAAATATGAAGGAAGCTGGAGAGATGTCTCAGCAGTTAAGAGCACTGGCTGCTCTTGAAGAGGACCTGAGTTGAGTTCCCAGCACACACATGGTGGCTCACAACTATCCATAACTCCAGTTCTAGGGGATCTGATTCCCTCTTTTGGTCTCCATGAACACTGCACACATGTGGTACACCTACATATGTGCAGGTAAAACAGTCATATACATAAAATAAAAAATGAAACAAAAAATTAACATTTTATTTATTTTTATGGCTATATGAATGTAGTCCTTGTATGTATGCAAGTGCACCCCTGTCATACAATACCTGCAGAGGTCAGAAGAGGGGGTCAGATCCCCTGGAACTGAGTTATGGATGGTTGTTAGCCACCATATAGGTACTGAGAATCAAATCCCAGTCCTTTGCAAGAGCAACCAGTGCTCTTAACTACTGAGCCATTTCTCCATCCCCTCCCCTCAAATTTTTAATATGAGGAAGTGATAAATTTATCAGTGGTGTTGGAACCCAGACAGCATGATTTAAAACACATTGTCATTTTCTTTTCAGTAATAATGGGGACATTGCTATTTTTCTCCATTACCAATGCTTCAAGGATTGGAGGAATAACAGGTACAGGTGTGAGGGTGGGTGTGTGACGGGTACAGGTGTGAGGCTGGGTGTGTGATGGGTGCAGGTGTGAGGC